ACAACAAAAGAGCAGACAGCAATGGACAGTAGGATGGGCAGCAGCAGGGGGAACAAATGAAAACCATCTCCCCAGAACCAAAAGGTTATTCCAGGAAGGCCTGCCAGAAGAGATCCGTCTTTACTGCTTTTTTAAAAGCAGCAAGGGTGGTAATAAGACAGATCTCATTTGGCAGGCCATTCCATTGTCTGACTCGTTTGCCAATTGGGAACCATTCTGTTTCTCTCTGTTTTGTCCTGACAGTAGTCTCTTGTCCTGAGTATCTTCCTCATTAGGACTATCAGATGTGTTGGCACTCCCATGTTTTTAAGGGCATTCCATAGCCTTTCATGATCTATGCAGTCAAAGTCATTGCTACAGTCTATAAAGCACATGCTGATTTTCTTTTGGAACTCTCTGCTATGTTCCATTAGCCATCGTATATTTGCAATGTGATCCCTGTTGCCTCTTCCTTTCCTGAACTCTGCTTGGACCTCTGAGATTTCTCTCTCTATGTGTGGTTGGAGTCTATATTGCAGAGTTTTGAGCATGATTTTGCTTGCATGGAAAATTAGTGCTACGGTTCTATAGTTGCAGCAGTCTATTGTGTCTCCTTTTTTTGTGGATGGGGATGTATATTGATCACTTGCAATCTGTTGGACATCATTTTGTTTTCCATATTTGTTAACATATGTTGGTTAGCACTAGAGTTGACTCTGTCAATGTGGATTGCAACAGTTCTATTGGAATATCATCTGTTCCTGGAGCCTTGGTTTTTTCCCATTTCCTTTATTGCAGCTTCCACCTCATTTTTTGGAATTTGGGGTTCATCTTCATATAGATCTTCATTTCATGTGTTTTTCATGTTGTCATCTTTTTTGTATAACTCTTCTGTGTATTGCATCCATCATCTTTTTATTCCTTCTTGGTCTTGAATTCTGTTATTTTTATTCTCATAGGGTGTCTTAGTCCTTGGTTTGAACTTTCTCTTGATTTCTTGAATCTTGTGGAATAGGTCTCATGTTCTTCCTTTTTTGTTGTTGTTTTCTATTTCTCGACATTTGTCCTTGTAGTAATTTTCGTTATCTTTGCACACTAGCCATTGTACTGTTGCATTCATGTTTCTTAATTTATTCCTATCTCCTTTTTGATTTTTTCCCTTTCCTTTATTGCTTGTTGCATTTTATCTGTCATCCATGGTTTCTTCACTTTCCTTTTGTCTGTTGGAAGTATCTTTTGTTAGGCATGGTAATGCAGTGCGTGGAGACCACGTAACGTGAAGCACCAGGATTCAGACTTCTCCAATGAAGCAGGCTGCTTGTCAGCTGGAGAAACTCCTCTCCCCTTTCAGATAGAGCACAGAGACTCCACAGACAGATGTCTCATGAATGAGGCTTTAATCTTTGTTGCTCTATATACAAAGATATGTACAGCATACACCAATGCAACTCCAACAATCCGCAATCCACACACCACAATCCACAGTCCACATGTGTGTCCAGAGGCTTGTGCCTTATATAGCCTGTGCTCCACATGGCTTCCTGGCCCTGCCTCTCCCTGCTGGACACCTGTCACTCACCTGAGTGACACTGCAGTTTCACAGCTCTTTTGCAGCAGTTTCTGTGCTTTCCAGCACCAGGTGACTACCCCCATGATGTCATGTCCTGTTACATCAGCATGAGGCTGCATGACTGAGCTGTGGCCAAATGCTGTCTCATCATGGCTGCAGCACTATCCCACAATGTACATTTTCCCTTGGGACCCAATCCTAACATTTTATGCATTCTTATTATGTCCCTGGTTTCAGACCAAAGCTCTTCCGGCTCACGATCTATTATTCTTACTACTGCAAATGTGTTCCTTATATTGTCAATGAATTCTGTGGAAATGTTGTTTAAATCATATTTTGGTATGATGACTGGTTTTGTTCCCTTCTTGAGTTTTACTTTTATTTTTGAAATGAGTAGTTTGTGATCTGTGCCACAATCAGAACTTGGTCTTGGCCACCAGTATGTTTTACTTCCAATTATATAATCTATTTGATTTTTGTGTTGGCCATCTGGTGATGTGCATGTGTGCAGCCTTCTTTATAGTTGTATGAAAATGTGTTTGCAATGAATAGGCTGTTGGCTTCACAAAAATCTCTCAGACATTCACCTGCTCCAAATCTGCCTACTGTTTTTAATTCTTCTTGACTTCCAACCTTTGTGTTCCAGTACCCAATGATCAGCTTGACATCCTTTGTTGGTGTGTTGCCAATTTCTTCCTGTAGTCCTTCGTAAAATCTACCAATTTCTTCTTGTTCTGCGTCAGCAGTTTTTGCATATACTTGAATTATGGTGATATTCATAGGTTTCCTGTGGAGCCT